ACTGGATCCTGGTTAGGACAAAAAGGCTGAGAAGGGGTCATATTCATATTCATTCATTCATATTCTCTCTCTTTCTCTCTCCCTCTCCCTCTCCCTCTCCCTCTCCCTCTCCCTCTCTCTCTCTCTCTCTCTCTCTCTCTCTCTCTCTCTCTCTTTCTCTCCCCCTCCTTCCTGATTGCCTTGTCCTGAGCTGCTTTCCTCCTCCACACTTTTCCGCCATGATTTTTCTGCCTCACCTTGGGCCCAGAGCCATGGAGTTGGCCATCTGTGGACTGAGACCTCTGAGACCAGGAGCCCCCACATGAACTTTTCCTCCTCTAAGATTGTTCTTGTCGGGTCTCTTGGTCACAGCGACCCAAAGCTGACTACAACAGACCTCCATCACTTCTCTGCTTGTGTTCAGTGGAGGAAGATCCCTCTGGAACCCGGGATGTCCTCCCTCCTCCTGGTCCTTCTTCTGACTCATGGAGTGGCAAGTGAGACGGGTGAGTCTGGAGGGAGGGATCACCTTCTGGGCTTCCGTGCATCTTGGGGAACGTAGTGGGACAGACCCATTTAGGTACATGATGCTTTAAGGTGTTTTGGGGGGAGGTAATTTCATGTGTGTGTGCGTGTATGCGTGTGTGTGTGTGTGTGTGTGTGTGTGTGTGTGTGTGTGTGTGTGTGTAAGATCCTCAGGTTTTTCTAAAGGGGTTTTTCAAACCAGTTTTTTTTTTACACTGGGCAGAGATATAATTAAAATTCAATAAAAATTTCCTCCACGCCTGGTCCCCCCCACCCCCACCGTCTCTTCTCCTACCCTATATTTATATTTTTGAAGGTCATACAATTCAATTCTGGTTACACATTCAATGGCTTTCTTACAGATCTGCATCCATTGTTGCAAAAGATGGCGGTGAGTGTTCCATTTTCTTTTAATCCAAATCCCCTCTCCCGGAACTGTCAACTTTTGAATGTTCTCCTTGATGTTATCTCTTTGCCTTTTAGGAGGAGATAATAGAGGGAAGCTATCTGAATGGTAATGTCCCCTTACCCGTCTCCCAATTGCRTCTTCTGAGAATTTCAAACGGAATGTGGCTGTGATCTCTCTGGAAAGATTCCTTTTAAAGTTGTCTTTTCGTTTTATTCCCATTGTAGCGTTGCTGGATCTCATACAGTTTCAAAGGTAACCTGCCCTAGCRGGGAGGGAAAGGGATGGAATCGATTTAAAAAAAATAATAATAATTCCTAGAGGAAGTCTCTTCATGGTCAAACGTGATGCATGCTCCTTGCAAAAACTGTCAGCCAATGCACGAGTGTTTTAAACTCGACACTCTTGTCCCACACACATTTGTTCCTCCTCTGCTGTAGCGTTAAAGACCCAGACTTTATGGAGTGCTTTTGAGGTAGTGGGTGCTGTTCCCAGTGCTGGTGCTTAGAAACCYGTCTGTCCTCACAGTGCCCCGTGAGGCATGTCTGGACACAATAATGACACTCAGGCACAGGGAGGGTGAATACGGCCACATAGCTGGGAAGTGGCAGAGATGGATGTGACCCCAGCATCTGGATCCAGGCCATTCCCTTCACTGTATGCCCTAAATACTGGGGACATGGGACAGGGAGCCAGATGGTTCAGTTGAATGGTGAAAAATGAACAAATGATTTTAATAGGATGACTACTTGGATGGAGAAGAAATGGGGGCCCCAAGACAGGCACACCCAATAGTGTCAAAGTGAATGATCCCCCATAAAAATTCTTCTCCCTAAGACAACTTCAATCCATGATCCTGGATATATTCTCTCAGGCTAAAATTTTAATTAATTGATTGATTGATGAATTAATCTATCTATCTATCCGTTCATCTATTTATCTGTAACAAAAATGGGATTATTGCTGGGTGCAGTGGCTCACGCCTGTAATCCCAGCGGCTTGGGAGGCTGAGGCAGGAGGATCGACGGTTCAAAGCCAGCCTCAGCAAAAGTGAGGTGCTAAGCAGCTCAGTAAGTCCCTGTCTCTAAATAAAATACAAAATAGGGCTGGGGATGTGGCTCAGTGGGTGAGTGCCCTGAGTTCAATCCCCAGTATCAAAAAACAAAACAAAAAACCCCCCCAAAAACAAAACAAAACAAAAAAAAAACGGAGAGATTATAAAAGACTATTGTTAGGCCTATGGGCATAGCTCTCAGTAGTAGAGCTATAGAGTTCTGCTCTCCACTCCCAGCACCAAAGCAACCAACACCACCACAAAAAAAGTCTAACTGTGAGCATCTATTATGGGTGAGGTGCTCTTTTAAGCACTTTACATACATGAACAAATTTAGTCCTCACAATTGTTAGCCATATTTCATAGAAAGGGAATGAGAGGCTCACAGATATTCAACACGTTGCCTAAGGCTGCACAACTATGTACTGGAGCCCAGGATGCAAATCCACGCTTGGTGCCTGTGCGCTCAATTCTGCTATTGTAGCCTTGGGCGCGGGGGTGGGGGTGTGTGTGCACCCAGCCTCTGCTTTTTAAACTTAATGTAGGAAGGAATCGCTCCAAGTCACTCTATGCAGACTGTAATCTGTCTAAGTGAATTGTCATGGGAATTAGAAATTGCATCCAGCACTGAACTTGACAATCACCTTTGAGACACTAGGACCCCAGCAGATTCTCAGGACTGGAAACTCTGCTGTCACCATGCAGATTAAAGCATCTCCAACTTCCAAGCACAAAGTTGCTAGCATCCCTGGCTGGTTCCCACCAGGCTCTCTGAGCGCCTGTCCCCCATGCACATGGCTGGTGCAGAGCTGCTTGTAGGGGGACCTGTCAYTCTAATTTTCTTCCATCCTTCTTTGACCAAAGCTCCCAGGCGTGGACGGCAGACCTGTCCCACAGAGTGCTGGCCTATCTGAATGCACAGAATGTTGCCTTCACCATCCCCAGCCTGCAGGTGAGGATCTGAGTCCCATCTTTATGCTCTGCTCTCAGTGTTCACTGCTTGCAAACTCAGGGGCCAGGAAAGTTGGAGAACTGGGCCATATGTCAAGAGAGTCTTTGCTTCTACAAGAAGAGTGTTCTGTCCAGTTTTTCTTGAAGCATAACACAAGCTCGTTTGTCTTGCTTTCATCTTCTCACCTTTGGTGACAATGTGGTATACTAGGGTATAGGCTAAGTCAGCTTCTATAACAAGCTGACCCCAAGTTCCAGAAGCTCAAACAATTTTAGTTTCTTTCTTTATAACATATTGAGTTTATTTCTCCAGAGTTAAGTGGGAGATTCAGAGAGGAGGGGTAACTCTTTTTCAAAAGACCACCCAAGACCCCAAGATCTTTTTGTCTTTTTGGTTGGTCACCCCCTAAGAAGTGGTTGCTCCCATGATTGAAACATCTTCCCCCATCAGGGAAGAGGGATCGAAAGAGAAAGTGAAGGGTTAGCATCTTCTCGTCTAAGGATGTGACTTGCAAGTTGTACAATTCCTTTTGTTTCTACTGTATTGGCTCAGATGCCATAATCACATCTTCCTGCAAAGAAGCCATACACCCAGTTAAATCTTGAGGTATTCGATGATAAGAAGAATATGGAAGGAAATGTATTAGTCAGCTTTCCAAAGCTATAACAAAATACCTGAGTCTGGGAACTTTATAAAGAGAAGAAGTCTGCTTTACTCAGTTGTAGGCTTAAAGTCCAAACAGCATGGTGTCGACTCTTGCAAGGGCCTCTTTGCCTGTGTCACCTCATGGTGGATGGTACCACCATGATGGAAACAGGTATGGGAGGAAGAGATCACATGGCAAGACAAGAAGCCTTGATTCAGGAATTAGGGTCACTCCTTTATAACAAACCTCTCATTAGGACTAATGAGGGTCCCTTGAAAATGACATCAGTTTTTTTTTCTGAGGATTGTGCCCCAATGACCTACCTCTAAACTCTAMCTCTTACTCCAATGGGAAAAAAGCATCCAGCACATAAATAATTGGGGGGCAAACCACTGCAGGTAAAATGGATATTTGGGTATAATTATCGGTCTTCCAATCAGGGTTCCAAGAAATAGTCTTCTTCTCTTTTGAGTCTACTATTTCGAAAGCAGCCAACACAAGCATGTTGATAGAAGCAGTGGATATTTGCCTCGGGAAGCAATAGGGCACGGTGGAGACCATGGAGAACCGGACAGCATGGCATGAGTGTTAGTGTGGCGTGTTGGGTTCTTCACCGTTGCACTGTGGGTAGCACACCCTTGAGGAAGTTTTCTTTCAGTATTCCCAAACTATTTCCCAGTTTAGCAAAGAAATCACTCCTGTCATTGGCCAACGARTAAAGAAGTTCCTTTCATTTTATTTACGTTTTAAGAAGAACGAAAATGTCAATCAACTACACCCAGAGGGTAGGTTGTGAACCATTGGCTCCTCCCATGTGGCATCTGCTTTTGTCAGAYGTGCATTAGGATAAAACAGATGCCCCTCATGATGCACCTCACTACCAAAGAGAAAGGAAGGAGGCAGGGCTTCTGTTTAGTGGCCACATCTGACAAAAGCTTTTCTTTCCATGTACATATGCATTGATTCACTCAGCACCTACTTAGCATCCTCTTTCTGCCAGTCTCTGTTTTAGACACTGGGAGTTCAGTGGAGATGAGACAGTCTTGTTACCCGGGATGTGGGGGTCTCCATTCTAGGGGGAGAGATGCCAAGTCAATCACTATTCAGTTCATTCCAGACAGAGAAGAGCAGGGGGCACTAACTCGTGCTAGGTACTGTTGAAAACACTGTACCCACTACCCAATCCTCTTCACAGCCCTACGTGGTAAGTCCTGCCATGGTCTCTATTTTCCAGATGAGAAAACTGAGGCCCAGAGGTAGTGTTGCTGATTGAACAAATACAAACATAGAATGTCCAGTTAAATTTGAATTTCAGATTAATAATGAGTAATTTTTAAATTATGAGTGTAGCCTATGCAATTTTTGCGATATAACGACATTAAAATTTTTTTTGCTCTTTATCTGAAATTTAAATCTAACTCAGCATTCTGTGTTTTTTTTTTTTCCTGCAATCCTAATTACCTAGTGTATCCCAGGCCACAAGACAAGGAGGGGTCAAGGTGGAGATTTGCACATGGGTTTTGGGGGTTCAGGGTCAAGGTTTTGTCCACATCACACATGCTGCCCTTCCTAGAGTACCTCTGTTTAAAGAGATTTAGAAAGTAATTCTCCAGATAGCACAGGAAATGTCTTTCAGGAGAGACAGGGGACACCATGGATGTTTGTTCACTGCCTGAGTTTTGCCCGGTGCTGCTGCGGGCCTGGGTTCGAGCAGCAGTGCATCTAGGGATGCTCGCCTTTCTGAACAGAGACCTGCTGCTCTGGACTCCAAACCTCCATCGCCTGCAGGGACCAGGCAGACCAGGGAGTGGGGAAATAAGGCTGGCGGGGCCTGTGGCAAGTGAGCCGCTGCCGGGGTCTTGCTTTTGATCACCAATATTTGCATTTTTCAAGAGAAATTGGAAACCTGGATTTTGTGAGAAATTGCCCAATCTTTTTTTTTTTTTTTTGGTACTAAGGATTGAATCCAGGGGTGCTTAACCCCTGAGCCACATCCCCAGCCCTTTTTATGTTTTATTGTGAGGCAGGGTCTTGCTAAGTTGCTTAGGACCTGGGTCAGTTGCTGAGGCTCACTTTGGACTTCGATCCTCCTGCCTCAGCCTCCCAAACCACTGGGATCACAGGCCTGCGCCACAGCATCCAGCTTTCCTGACTTTTTGATGTTTGCGGATATTGAAAAATTTTTGGAGCTGGACAGACCAAACCCATCAGTCCGGTGGTCCGTTTGGGGACTTTGTAGGGAATCTGGGGAAATAGGCTGGGCTGTTGGCCATGGTGCTGATCAGGTATGCTCCTGTCTGTCTGTCCTCACCGACGTCCCCTTCACTCTCCATGTCCAGGCAGCTGTGGAAAACCATCTGGAGCAGTGTTTGTACCAGCCCCAGAAGCTCCTGCAGGACCTGAGGAAGACTGACGCCCAGCAGTTCCGGACCGCCATGAAATGTCTCTTAGAAGACAGGAGGGATCACCTGGTGAGTCATCTTTGGGGGAAGTAGAAGTCCCGGGTCGTTGTGATTGGTTGAGCTGAATGAAACTGACCTGAGCCGGGCCTGGGCCACCTTTATTTCTTCCTCCCCSCTCTGCCCCCTCCAACCTGCTGGGATCTTTAGGACCTAGGTCTTCCCACTCACTTTCTTCCTATGAAGGGGGTTCTCATTCATATTCTTGTGCATGCTAAGAAATGAGGGGGTGCTTCTCATCGTTCGGCTTGATCATCATCTAGGAAGAATGGCCATCGAGATGGACGTAGAGGGGGAACGCTGTCCCTGTCCTTCCGCAGCTTTTGGTCTCTGGGCCGAAGACAAAAAGCAGAAACGTAATTTCCCACAAAGTGAGGTTAGGGATCTGTGGGCATCTCAGAGAGTCCTTTGGATCCCAAAAGATGACCTGTAGAGTTTTCTTTATTGGAGGCAGTTTAGTGTGGAGTAGTGTTTCTTAAAAGGAGTTGAACCATTTAAACATTTTTTAAAGGTTCCTGCTATAATTTTATTAGTAGCAGATAAAGTAAATTTTTTTATTGATTTTTAAAAAATAAATGACAGCAGAATCCATTTCAATTCATATTACACATATTGAGGACAATTTTTCATACTTCTGGTTGTATATAAAGTATGTTCACACCAATTCGTGTCTTCATACATGTACTTTGGATAATAATGTCCATCACATTCCACCATCCTGGCTAACCCCCTGCCCCTCCCTTCCCCTCCCACTCCTCTGCCCTATCTAGAGTTCATCTATTCCTCCCATGCTCCCCCTCCCTACCCCACTATGAGTCAGCCTCCTTATATCAGAGAAAACATTCGACATTTGTTTTTTTGGGGATTGGCCAACTTCACTTAGCATCATCTTCTCCAATGCCATCCATTTACCTGCAAATGCCATGATTTTATTCTCTTTTATTGCTGAGTAATAGTCCATTGTGTATATATATTTTTTATCCATTTATCTACTGAAGGGCATCTAGGTTGGTCCACAGTTGAGCTATTGTGAATCATGCTGCTATAAACATTGATGTGGCTGTGTCCCTGTAGTATGCTGTTTTAAAGTCCTTTGGGTATAGACTGAGGAGAGGGAAAGCTGGGTCAAATGGTGGTTCCATTCCCAGTTTTCTAAGGAATCTCCATACTGCTTTCCATATTGGCTGCACCAGTTTGAATCACTTATCTATTTAGTGGTGCTAGAGAATGTCCGAGGGCCTCAGCAGGCTAGGTAACTGTTCTACCATGCAGCTCCAGCTCCAACCCCTAATCACACACTGTTACAATATCTCTTATTAAAATGTGTTGGATACATCAAACCAGTTTGGTAGGAATGTAATATTTCCTTCAGAAACGAATTTAAGCTTAAAAAAAAAAACTCCTTATAAAGGAAAATACAAAGTATACCACAGTAAAGGCACCCCTGGGTGGCGGTCTATGGGAACGGTATTGCTTAAAGTTTACTGAGGGTTCTAGGCGGGAGGCATCATTCTAACGGGAGTGATCAGCAAACTTTCTCTAAGGGACTGGCTAGGAAATATTTAAGGCTTTGCAGGAAAAACAAGCTCTGACACTATTACTCAACTCTGCCACTGAGGAATGAAAGAAGCTATGAGAAATGAAGCTATTAGAAGTGACTGTAGACATGTCTCATGAAAATTATCCACAGAAACAAGCGGTGGGCTCACAGCGGCCTATGGGACGAATAACTTGCTGGCCATCGCTCTAAGGGTTTGACATGCAGGGACTCATTGACTCCCCTCCAGGACCCTCTGAAATAAGGTTATAGGAATCTTACCATTGTAATATTCAGATGAGGAAACTGTGGCTTAGAGAGGGTGAACAACCTCAAACGACACAGCTTAGAAACAGCAAATCAGAGGTTGAAACCTGGGCTCCTAGCTCCAGCTGTGAGCCTTTCTGGCACTTAGAGAAGAACAAATTACAAAGGATTAAAAAGGAGGCAAATTCTATTGAAAAACATTGATCAAAATGTAAAATACAGACACACTTGGGGGATAGTAATTTATGTTTTTTTTTTAACACGTTCGATAACATGATTTAGCAGCCTGTTTAATAACTTGTGTAATTTTGTGTTGAGTATAAACTGTGGCTTTGCTGCCTACATTCATCCCCAAAGGAAGTGCGACGTGTCAGTTTTGTGTTGGTGGAAATGAAGCTGCAGTTTCCCCCTCAGCGTCCACAGATGCCCCGAATTCCAACCCCAGGCCCTTGCTTCAGAACCACTAAGTGGCTGGGGCTCCTGTAATCCCAGTGGTTCAAGAGGCTGAGGCAGGGGGATCACCAAGTTCAAAGCCGGCCTCAGCAACTTAGTGACGYCCTGCGCTACTCAGCGAGAACCTGGCTGGAAACAGAATCACCGCGAAGTACACGGGTATTCAGTCACCACAGCAAATGACTGAAACTAGGAAGCAGTCAATCAAGGTTCTAGGGTGGGTTTGTGCTCCAAGACACTGTTCAGATCCCAGCTCTGGGGACTGGTGCATATTCTCTGTTTTGCTTTTGTCACCTGTGACACTGAGGTAGGAACCGCCTATGGAACTCGGGCTGAGTGTTCACAGCTCCCAGTCATTTTGCACATTCGTTTTCTTGCTCAGGTCTTACACAGAATCTAAGTGCTGATTTTGCAGAGAAGGAAACAGATTTTTTTTTTTTAAAGGTAAGCAATTTACTCAGGGAAAAAGTCGGGCCCTGGGATGTTAACCTGGGAATGCCTGACTTGGGGACCTTTGATGCTTATTCTGTAGGATCARAATTCAATAAGGTGATGCCCATTTGCTCCATGCTCGGCACAGTGCCTGGTGCATAGTCAGTGGTCAGCAAATGGTGGCTCGTTTTGGAGGGTACGTGGGGTGAAGGACAGAGGGATCCCTCAGATTGGAAGGAAACCTCATCCTCATTCCTGAGTTCTGTGGTGGAAAGCGTTTGTCTGTGCATTTGGATAGACGGCTTGTGAGTGTCTTCTAGGTCCTGGGCCCTCCACTAGACATGCGACCTTGGCCTCAAGGTCTTTCCTGGCTCAGCCTTGGATACACATAAGGATCATATGCCAGAGCTCCGCTCCTGACCAAGTAAATCAGACTGTAGGTAGTGGTGCTGGAAACCAGAGCTTTTAAGTCTCCCTGGTGATTCTGAACCCTGGGCTTGGAGGGAAGAGAAGCTCACAGCATCTTTAATGCATCAAAGAGTTTGGTTCAAGATGCTCCAGGAGCACCCAGTGGAGGGAGAGCTGACTTGAAGTAGGAAGTCGGAGGAGATCAGAGGAGACTTCGCCAAGGAGGTGACGACGGAACTCAATCTTAAAAGGATGAGCTGCATTTTGCTAGGAGGAGGAGGAGGCAGGAGATTCCAACTAGACTGAGGGCCTGAGGTGTGACAATCATGCTGCATCTGGAGAGCGATAAGTCACCTAGGGCAGGTGAAGTAGGTGACGCCCTTGATTTTTGTTGGGTAGGTGATGGAAGGTTCTAGAAGTTTCCACATAGCGGCATGGAGTCTCCCCACTGCCACAGTGTGTGGTCCCTCCTGGGTCTTCTGAGTCAAGAGGGCATCTCTCAAGACAGCCCTGCTTCTCTCCTTGCTGTAGGACCTGGGGGACGTCKTCATCGACTTGGGAGCGATCCGGGAACAAGCTTTGCAGAGCCCTGGTGTGAACCGCACCCTGTTTCTGGTCACGCTGGAGAGGTGTTTCCAGGTGTTGAACTCCCTGGAGTGCGTGGAGATCCTGGGCAGGGTGCTGAGGGGGTCCTCAGGCAGATTTCTCCAGCCAGACGTCACAGAGAGGCTGCCCCGGCACCTGCGTGAGGACGCCTTTAAGAACCTGTGAGTGCTTCCTCCCACCCTCTCACCTGCCTGAGAGTCCCAGGAGGTAACACCTGGCAGAGGGGAGAAGACAGGTGGACACAGGTTGATATGAGCAGAGGCTTAAACATCTGAGGAGCTGAGAGAGGCTGTGATTAAAACTGTCTGAAATTTCAGCCATCTGGGTTCTGTCCCCGCAATCTTTGCTTGTACCATGATTCACTTTGTGTTTTTCTTTATAAGGACTCATCTTTATTACTTGAAATATTTATTTTAAAAGTAAGTTTGATATTATTACCGTCAATGGGAATCCGGCATCCTTTGTCTTGGGTGATCATAAAGAGGGATAAGGATGAAAGCAACGTGTCACCCAATCCCAGCCTCCTGTGTTGCTCTCCTGAGTGTCTGAGGCGGTGTGAGTTGCTATCACAGAACTGCTGTCCACTCGGGGGCTCAAACACCAAATAGCGATTTTTTACAGTTCTGGAGACTAGGAAGTCCATGTGCAAGGTATTGGCAGATTTGGTGTCACATGGGGGGTTCTGGTTCATAGAAGGCGTTTTTCTTGCTGTGTCCTCACATGACAAAAGGGGCAAGGAAGCTCTTTGGAGTCTCCTTTAAAAGGGCACTAACCGCATTCATGGGGGCTCCACCTGGTGACCCTGAGATGACCCCACGGGATCTGACTTCATCTGAACTTCGCCTGGTCTCCTGAATCCCAATCCTCCTCTTCCCACTCTATCCTCTTTGCCTTATGAGGATTATTTTCATCCCCATCTTTCAGACAAGGAAACTGAGGCCCAATGACTTGCTCTAGGTCAGACTAATAGGGAAGGAGACAGCATTTTTGCAAATGGACAATCTTCTTGTCAAATAATGTTTACCATTTTTAAAAAGAACCTTGTCTCCCCCCTGCCCCTGTTTTTTCACCTTCTCTTGCTGGCATTAGGGGAAGAAGGAAAATAAAAATCTATGGAGAAGACATTTATTTGGGTTTAGGGGACACTTTGCCTGTTTACATATAAAATGGCTGGAGAAGTGATGAGGATAAAATTTAAGCTTAGAAATGTTGGCGCGTTGGTGGTTTAGTGAGTTGATAAATGGGTGCTGTAGAAGAGATGCTTCCAGGACATGGAGATCCAGCGGTTTTGCAGATTGGGCAGGAGGAAGGGTCAGTGCCAAGTGCTGTGAAAGGTTAAATCCTGTTTGGCCAAAAGGGACCTCTGGGCATGGCCAGAAGGAGGCCATTGGTGACTTGGGCCATGGGGGGATGTGGTACTGGAGGAACCAGATTACAACACGAGCCAGAAGCTTCACACCCAGCAGGAGGTCTTTAATCCAAATGTCAGAGCATGAYGAGTGTCAAAGATGACGTGGAGAAGTCAGATCCTGACACACTACTGGTGCAGCTGCTTTGGGAACGATCCGGAGACTCAAGAGGCTAAACAGAAGGGCCCAGGATGTAGCTCAGTAATAGAGCATGTGCATAGCCTGTAAGAGGTCCTGGATGCACTTCCCAGCACACACACACGCACACACACACACACACACACACACACACACACACACGCTAACCAGTGCCATCTACCCACTACCCACCAATCCCATGCCTGGCTATACACCCGAGAGACCAGACAGAATGCCTATGACATATGTCCATACAAAAATTCGCACAGGAATGTTTATTAAAAGACAATATTCATAAAAGATAAAGTTGTTGGAAATAACCTAAATGTCCATCAACTGATGAATGGATGAAGGTGATGTGGTGTATTCCTTCATACAATGGAATATTATTTGGTCCTAAAAAGGAATGAAGGACCAACATACTCCAACCTTGAAAAACATCATGCCAAGTGCAAAAAGCCCAGAGACCCAATACTCTGTATTGTTGGCTTCTGTTTATGTGAGAGGCTCAGAAAGAGCCAATCTATAGAGACAGGACGTAGATTGGTGCTGTCTAGGGGCTGGGGAGATTGRGAGATGAGGGGTGTTAGTTAAGGATATGGAATTTCTTTTTGAGGTGCTTAAAATGTTCTAAAATGGGTTGTGGTAATGGCTTCACAACTCAGGATGTCCTGAAAACCATGGAACAGAATACTTCAAGTGGACAAATTGTAGTGTATGTAAATAATATCTCAGCAAAGCTATTAACAGCAGCCAAGGCACCAGGAGGTGAGGAAGCGGAGGCAGTGCACACAGGCCACTCTTTGGATGGTGTGACACCTGAAGGAGCAAATGGCTCAGTTAGCCAAAGAGTGGGAAGGGCCTCATCACGCGACAGCTTTGGGCACATTTGCAGTTTTGATTCTCCGTTCACCCCTCCACCTGCGTGGTACTAACGGATGCCTGTGTTTGTGCCACTTAGCTCTGCCATGTTCAGAGATCTCTATGACCAGACCTCGGCTCATGCGCAGAGGGCGCTGTATTCCTGGATGACTGGGATTCTGCAGACGTCTGCCAACACCTCTGGTGAGCTTGTGCTTGTGTGGGTGGGTCACCGGTGGGGAGTCTGTCCTCCAAAGAGGCACTTMATCTCTGAAAGAGGGGCTCGATGTCACACAACTTCCAGAGAGGGTTTAGTGAGGCTTAAGGTTAAAACTCAGCCGCTCCTCATCAACATGCTCTTGACCTATCCAGGATGTATCTGTATCTTAAAATCAATGGTGTGTCCTAATATTTTAGTGACAGAGTTGATGAGAACCTTTAGAATATGGGGTTACAAGTTCAAAAATCTGTGTAAAAATATCTATATTAAAGTGAGATATGATTTTTTTTTTGTTATAAAATCTAGGCAATAGCTGGCCATGGTGGCTCATGCCTGTAATCCCAGCTACTCGGGAGGCTGAGGCAGGAGGATTGAAAGTTTGAGGCCAGCCTGGGCAGCATTGTGTGACCCTGTTTCAAAGTAGAATTAAAAGGGCTGGCGGTGTAATTCTGCATTAGAGCACCCCTGGGTACAATCCACAGTACTGCCAAAAAAAAAAAAAAAAAAAAAAAAAGAAAGAAAGAAATCTAATCAAGTCAATAAGGCACAGATTTAGTTTTCTGACCTTCCTGGCAACCACAGTGGAAATATGTCAGGATTATTTACCTGCAATGTATTTATTAGAAGCCTATTTATGTCCTAAGTAGTCAAACTCAGAGTCAGGCATTGGAACGGTGGTAGAGTTCAGTTCTGCAAGATGCATGAAGTTCTGGATATGGGTGGTATTGGGTATACACCAGGCCTGTACCCCTGGCTCTCTGCATTTGTGGGTTCAACCAACTGTGCATGGAAACTATTTGAAAAAAATGTGTCTGTATGGAACATGTTCAGATGTTTTTTTTTATCCCCTGAACAATATCATGTAACAACTATTTCTCTAACACTTATATTGTATTAAATAGTATAAATAATCTAGCAATGATTTTCAGTATTCAGGGAGGAGGCGTGGGGGTTACCTGCAAACTCTATGCCATTTTACCTAAGGGATTAGAGTAGCCAAGTAGTGGGTCCTGCACCCAAACTCCTATGCATACTGAAGAATGACTGTATTTAATACTACTGAGCTGGACAATTAAAATGCTTAAGATGGCAAAATTTATATTATGTGTATTTTATCACAATTGAAAAAAGCAATCTAGAGAAGAATGGTTATATAGGTTAACAATGCAAACAACTTCTCAGCTTCAAGTTGGTAAATGCATCATGTCAGGACTATAAATAGCATGAATATTCTTTTTGGGGGGAGGGTATAGGGGATTGTACCAAGGGCCATTCAACCACTGAGACCCAACCCCAGCCCTATTTTGATTTTCATTTTAGTGACAGGGTCTCACTGAGTTGCTTAGTGCCTCACTTAGTGCTTTGAACTCATAATCCTCCTGCCTCAGCCTCTTGAGCTGCTGTGATTACAGGCATGCGCCACTGCACCCAGCTCAGCAAAAAAGAGCCTACTATGTGTTGGCAGCTGAGGATATAGAAGAAAATAAGACAAAATGTTTGCTTTCTGAATTCATCCTTTTATTGTGGAAGGGTAGGGGGAGAAAAATTTTTAAAGAAGGAGGGAAAGGTGGGACGGAGATCGAAAGAGAAAGAGTGAAAGAGAGAGAGGAGATAGAAACGAGAAAGGGTTACTACTTTAGGCTAGAACAGGCCTTGTCAAATGCTTTCTGTCAAGGTCATTTAAAAAGTGAGTAAATATTTTATGCTTTGTGAGCCCATAACCTCTGACACTACTTTTCCATATCAGCCACAGAGGTAGGTGAATGGGCAAGGCTGTGTCCCATGGAAACTTTATTTCTGGATGCTGGAATCTGAAATTCATGATTTTCACCTGTCACCAGACATAAATCTTCTTTTCTTGGCTTCAAGACTGTGTAAAATTAAGTTGTGCTCTGGGGGTGACCCATGGGCTGTAGTTGGCCAATCCCTGGACGAAGGGATCAAGGAAGACCTCTCAGGGGTGATCCAGAGGAGGAGATGGAATCAGTCATGTGGGGTTCTGCAGAGAGGGCATTCCAAGCTGAGGGACCAGCACATGCAAAGGCCCTGGGGTGGGAATGAGCAAGGGGTGTTGGGGAACCATGAAGGAAACCAGTGGGGTTGGAGCCGAGGGATGCCAAACAATCCTTTTCCTGGGCTTAATCTCTGAGATTTGTGTGTAAGGAGCATTAACAATATAATAACAATGTGTTGGATGCTTAGCAGAATCCCCTCTTCCTGGAGTATAAACTCCAGCCTCTAGGAACCTGAATCTCACACTGTGTAACCCTGAGAAAGTCACTCAATCTCTTACGTCCCTAAGACTTTATTGCCAGAGTTTAGGGACAGATTTTCCTTCTGGAATTCCTATATGGTAAATTTCTTTTTTTTAAAGAATATATATATATATATATATATATATATTAGATAGACAGAATACCTTTATTTTATTTATTTATATGTGGTGCTAAGGATGGAACCTAGGCCATTACATGAGTAGCGCTCTACTCAGCCACAACCTCAGCCTGGTAAATTTCATTTTTTWAAAAATATTTTTAACCATAGATGAACACAATACCTTTAATTAATTAATTTTTAAATTTTTATGTGGTGCTGAGGATCGAACCCAGTGCCTCACAGGTGTGAGGCAAGCACTCTGCCACTGAGCTACAGCCCCGGCCCAAATTTCATTATTAATCTACAGTGAATTAAAGTTCATTCTTTTTGGACCTTGAAAATTCTGTTTTCATGAAGGTCCCCGAGCTAACTGGAAATACTTTGGCTATTAAAGATGTCCCCAGATGAAACTGACCAAATTCTATGATGCCCAAGTACAAAGTTATCACAATGAATCCCACTCTGATGTACAATTACAATGCACCAATAAAGAATTAATAAAAAATAGAATATCTCGAGCTTGGGGATCATTCGTCTGCAGGAGTATAGTTCATGCTTCATCATTGTTGGCAAATGAAGAAACTCAGCTTGGTTGTTGGTGAAATTTATGGTTCCTCCCCAGTTATCTATCCTCTGAGGCCACCTTTTGATTCAATCATCAAGTCAGATGTCCCAGGGTCCCCTGTACTCTGATTCCTGGGTCAGGGGAGACACATAATGTTCTCCTGAATGAGTCTGTGCAAAGCTGACTTCTCCATCTCATTTGGACACCAGTCACCACCCACACCTCCCGAAACAGCTCTTAGTGACGGATGCACGTGCTCTCCTTTCTTTCCCCCAAACGCCACCAACACAATGTGGCTGTGTGGAAAAGTCTTATGCTGAAGGACCGGGAACAATGGCGGCCAACTCCAGCTCTGTGACCCAGGTCTGTGTGCAGCATAGTGTCTCAAGGGTGAGCTTTTAATAAATGGTCCTTGAATGGATGAGTGAACTCAAGAAGGAGGTCCTGATGTCCAAGATGCCGTTGACCATCACACACCAGTGGGAAGACTTTTATGTAAGTATTTACTCATTCATTCATTCATTCATTCATTCATTTTTTGTAGATGACTCTGTTTCCTGGGTCAGTGCAGAAAACTTATGGATTTTGGGCAGATACATGGTTCACCTATCATTTGAAGAGATTATGAGGATTAGCCCTGTAGAGGTAAGCTGGAAAAGTATATTTATATGTCCCCGTTACTAATCCACCTGGGGTAAGGTGTGTGCTAAACTTCCAGGTTCAGCCGGCCAGTCGAGGTACTGCCTCTGTCCAACCTGTCTCTAGCTTCTAAAGAAAACTCTTGGAACAAGGCCTCAGGTGGTGGCAGTAGGATTGTGTGCTGCTATAAAAGGGTAATGGGAGAAAGAAAAAAACAGCACAGAATTAAGACACCTTTGATGTGAATCATGATGAAGGAAGGGGAACGTTGGCTGTGCACCAAGAATCATCCGAGGACAATAGCTATCAAGTTTCCAATCCTTGGACGCATGAACGCAAGACCAAGCAACATGGATTAATAGCTATTTCTATTTATAGTGACTTGTAGTAATATCCCTTTAGCATGAGCAGTGACTGGGTTTTATAGAGTGGATTTTTTTAATAGAGTTTATAGTGGAGAAATGTCCATGTCTGGGGTCACTTAACTCAGTCATCAACCTGTCTCCTGCTGACGTTGACTCAATGACATGAAAATCCCTTGGGGAATCTTGACTCTAGGATGCAACCTCCCAAGAATGTTGTCCATGCAAAGGCCTCCGTAAAGACTTTGGAGCCTGTCTAAAAAAACAACAAAAATTTTTTTTTTTTTTTTTTTTTTTGGTACTGGGGTTTGAACCCAGGGGTGCTTTACCACTGAGCTATTCCCCCAGCTAGTTTTCTTTTTTTACTTTAAGACTTTTTTTTTTCTTATATTTTAAGTTGCTCATGGCGTCACTGAGTTGCTGAGGCTGGCCTGGAACTTGCGATCCTCCTGCCTCAGCCTCCTGAGTCACTGAGATTACAGGTGTGCACCATGGCCTGGCCTATTATTATTTCTTAAACCACAGGTGACGTGACTTTCTACTGGCCATTCAGAGAAGAGTTTGTATCAAATGAGTGGCTCATTCAAAGACCAGTTAACCCAACAATATTTTGGTTATTATGAAGCCAGCTGCAGAATTAAATTCCTCTTTTTTACCTAGGAGGCTGGGAGTATTTCAAACACCTCCCAATTTTTACAACCCTCTGTCCTAGGATTAACCCCTCGGGCCCCCATTTACCCTCCCAGCATTGAGAGATTTTTCTAGAAGTAGACTGAAGTTTAATTCTTAGAAATCTGAGCTCTTCGAGGGAATTTCCCAGGTCAGACATCCATTGAAACTTTTCATTACCTAAAAGTATAGAGAAGAAAGGAAAAGGCACGGGGCATGCACACTAAGAAGGCATTTTATATGGGCCAAGAGCAGAGTCCACAAGGGAAGGACAACTTTACGAGCCTCTTTTAAACACAATGACTGCATCAGAATAGAGAATGAGAAATCCGTTAGAAACACCAGGAGAAAGATCTGAACCCCACSGTCGTAGAACATACAAGAGCACCTTTGGAAATGTAGGCAAAAAGGGAACGAGAATACAGATAATCCAAAAACTATATTTAATAAGGTTGAATATATACGATGCGCCACATTCTGTGTCTTACAAAGAGAACACACATTCTTCTTTCTATCACCCGAAGTCCATCTATAAACTCGCTCACCTGTTACAAAATCTTGATTTCTCAAAGCAGAAAAATGGGTGGACCATCTTCTCTGACCTTAAAACCAATCTAGGAATCAATGTGTCCAAATTAGCTTACAAAGTTCAGCTGCCGGAATGTTAAAGGAATCATTCTTAAATAACAGGTTGGGTTGAGGAGGAAATCAAAGCGGCAGTTACAGACCGTGAAGAAATCAGGAGAGGGCTGGGGAATGTAGTGCAGGGTCAGAGCACTTGCTAGCATGCAAGGTGCCGGGGGTTTGAGACCTGCATTGCTGGAGGAAGGGGAAAGAAATTGATGACAAATGTCAGCTGCCAAGTGTCTGGGATGGGGCACAGCGCATTGGGCCCTTCCACGCTCCTCTCTGATCTTCCCGTCTCTGTCCACTAGATTGGGCTGTTCATCAGCTATGACAACGCCACCAAGCAGCTGGACACGGTCTATGACATCACCCCTGAGCTGGCCCAGGCATTTCTGCAGAGAATCAGCTCCTCCGGCTTTGATGTGAGGAACGCCTCAACCATCCACAGGCAAGGGGTGTGGGTGCTGGGCCCTCTGAGCTTTCTCCCAAGACACAATCTTCTTTTCTCATAGTTAAGCTAAACTTTTTTCTCAACACACGTTCAAATCCTTTCCCTGGGTCTGGCTGCTTTCCTGTACCCATGTCCGATGTCAGTCTCTCTAGGAGGGTGGAGCCAGGTCGATGGCCATCAACCAGGTGCTCTGGCCGTGCTGAGTGGATAGTCTTCCTATGAACCCCAAAGGCATTCATTAAGGAAAGAGAACTCAGTATCCACCAGGACTGCTCGTCATTTGCTGTATCTCTCCTTTAACTTTCACATTCATCCTCATTCCTTCCATTCATCATATTCATTTTGATGTGCTATGATGAACAAAGCAAGTCTCTCATTTATTAAAAGTTCACTGAGGCAGGGCCACCCTGTACAGTAGTACAGAGGGTACACTGCCCAACTGTATGTAGCAGCCTTACAGAGAAATGAAATAACTTATTGGAGATCAAATATCTGATTAGAATATGGCTTCTAACTTCAGTTGGCCTGAATGTATGCTCTTAACCACTGGATATATTTTTTTTGAGGGGGTACCAGGGATTGAACTCAGGGGCACTCAACCACTGAGCCCCATCCCCAGCCCTGTTTTGTATTTTATTTAGAGACGGGTCTCACTGAGTTGCTTAGAGCCTTGCTTTTGCTGAGGCTGGCTTTGAACTCACGATCCTCCTGCCTCAGCCTCCTGAGCCGCTGGAATGACAGATGTGTGCCACCTGGCCTGGCACCACTGGATATTTTGCTCCCAGTTAGACCAAGATTGAATCCTTCTGCCCTAGACTATTCTGCCTTCTGGTTTTTCTTTCTTTTTCTTCTGAAATCTTTGCATCATCCAAGTAAGTAAACAATAATTTTGGAAGCAGACCTCTCCTTCAGGGTGAATGAACCCCGTATGTCCGTGTGGAGAGCAGGCAGTTCTCGGTGGCTAGTTCAGGAGGTGAGATGACTTAGTTGGATGGATCTAGATAGAAGTCCCAGCTCCCCTATTTGCCTTGGGCAAGTCACTTAATCTGAGTCTCAGTTTGCCCATCTATGGGATAGAGCTCTGATGAGAACTTCTACCTGTAGGATTATTGCAATAGATGACTCAGGTAAAGGCTCAGTCCAACACCTGGTGAGCGGTAGCTGCCGGGATCCTGACCCTTTTGGTTTGGACGGGGGTGGGTGTGGTTGCAGCCCCCGCCCCAGCTCTGAGCCCTCTGCTAGTATCCCTCATCTTCTCACGCAGGTTGGGGCTGTTGGTTTGTTTCTACGATGACCTGGAGCTGCTGGACGCCGCCCTGGCCCAACTCCTCCTTCACCAGATGATCAAGTGCAGCCACCTGCGGGGCTTCCAGGCTGCAGTGCAGAAGGTGCCGGTGGGATGCAAGGCCCTGGGGCTTCTGCCTCTGTTTTACCAGCCGGAGGAATGGGGAGAACAGCCTTGCCCGGTCTTAGAGAGAACACGGGTAGTGTTGTTAACCAGGATCTAAACCCAGCCACTCAAATGGTGTCTCACGTCCTGGGATGAATGTAACATGGGAGAGAGTGACATCAAACAGCCTAGGGAAGAACCTTGGAAAGATGGAAATTCAATCAGAGCAGCCACATCCGGCTGGCCTGAGCTTCAAGATCACCTGGGGATCTTAAATGCAGATCCTGGTTCAGGAGGTCTGGCGCGGGGCCTGTACGGCTGCATTGCCAACCAACTCCAGGTGACAAGAGCTGCTACAATGGTTCTTGATGAGTATCAGCCTCTCCAGGTCCACCCCGAGACTCTGAGGTTACCCGCCTGGGATTGGGGTGGTTTCAAAGCTTGCAGGTGATTCCAACCCAGCCAGGATCAAGAACCCTGGGTGGTGGGGTTTTATTTATTGAGCCCCTAGACCAGGCTCAGGACAAATTAGCAAGTGAGGATGGGTTTGTTTCCTCTCTGCTCATCTCTCTTTTCTTTCATCCATTCAGATCTCAATCTCTTCACTTCCTTTGGTCCTTTCCAGTTTTTGTTATTGAAAATATGGCATGAAAATCATGTTAAAGACATTTTTTAAAATATTTATTTCTTAGTTATCGGCGGACACAACATCTTTGTTTGTTTGTGGTGCTGAGGATTGAACCCGGGCCGCACGCATGCCAGGCGAGCGCGCTACCGCTTGAACCACATCCCCAGCCCCTTAAAGACATTTTTGATCAAGTCATCAATAATTTTACATAGCTGTTTTTCACATATGATCCTTTTGAAATCTCCAATCCCATTTGTTTTTTTTTTTTTTTGGTAGTATTAGGGACTGAACCTAGAGGGTTGCTCTACCACTGAGTGACATCCCCAACCCTTTATATTTGTATTTTTAAATTTTGTGACAGGGTCTTGCTAAATTGCCCAGGCGGGCCTTGAAATTGTGATCTCCTGCCTCAGCCTCCCGAGTTGCTAGGATTACAGGTGTGGGTGTCTGTGCCCCGCCCCAATCACAGTGGACATGTCACATTAGATCATCAGTCTTGGTCAATGCCTACTTTTCAAGGAAAAGAAATCCTCAAGCAAACTTCAACAAAAATAAGAATCAACGTATTTTATATCCACAGGGATAATTGTGGCAGCCCTGATGAAAAAGAAAGTCAAATACATTTAGATATGGAGGAACACTTTGGGATCACTTAATTCTGTAGTTCTCAAACTTGAGGGTGCATCAGAATTAGTGGGCAGGCTTGTTAAAGTACAGGTGGCTGGGCCCGATGCCCAGAGTCTGAGTTGGCAGGTCTGGGATGGAACTTGTTTCTAATAAATTCCCCCAAGTTGCGGCTGCTGGCCAAGGACCACACTTACAGAACCTAGGGAATGGGGACCTGCTAAAATTGAGAGAATCCAGGCACAGCCACGGAGGGTCCTTCTACTTCACTCTTCTGCCCCCCAGTGGCCGTTTTAATATTGCATGGACCAGTCTCATGCACCTGTTGGAAATGGACATATTGTTGTAATAAATTCTGGTGTTAAAATCTGCACGGCTCTCATTTTCTGGCACGGAGGTTTTGCTACAGTTGGCGAGTTTCCTTACCAGAAGCAATTGAGACACACATGCGACTATAACTAGGCAGGCATATTGCAATAATATAATTATTAAAATGATCACAGACATGTACAAAGATGTACAAGATATAATTTTAAGTGAAAAACATAGAACAGAAAATTATACTTCTGTTCATATTGTAGCTCTGTAAAAACTCCATGCTGTCTTTATAAACGCACAGGGAGACTTGGAAGGATATACACCCAACTACTAATCATAGTTTCTCACCTTTCTTTCTTTTTCTGGTGCTGAGGATTGAACCCAGAGCCTTGTGTTCTTTGTACAAGTGCTCTACCACTGAGCCACTGGGTCACTCCAGCCTCAGATTTATTTTTAAGAGGTAGGATTTTTAGACCACTTGAACTTTCTTGTACTGTTGAGAATTATTTGGACACAGATTATCTATCATCATGAAAAAGGCCCCAGATAGTTTACAAAAGAAAAACAGCCATATATATATATGGACACAGAGTTCAAGGTCAGAAAAGGAAAATAAAATCTACAAGAATGCGGTGGAATTGTAAGGGAGCAAAATTCCTTTCTGCTATGCTTTCAGGTTGATTTACTAACACATTAATATTCAAATGAAGCCCAATTTGAATTTCCAGCACATGAAAGCCACTGCCTGTGGAGGTGGGTGGGTGGGGGGACTGTGTCACTGGACAAGGCAGGAGTCTCTTTTCCTCCTGGTCTCTGGTACAGAGGCTTAGATGGGGCAGGATGGACTCCGTATGCCCAGGACGTAGTCAGAGGGAGACACTGCCCTGCTTGATGTCCATGCTCATCTCAGACTGCTCTCCTTCTAGCTCAAAGCTGACCTCCTGGGTATTGCCACCGAGAACCGAACCCTCAACGAGACCCTGGGCTCTTTGTCGGATGCAGTCGTGGGTTTGACCTGCAGTCAGCTGGAGTCCCTCTCCCCGGAGGCCGTGCACAGTGCCATCGCCACCCTCAACCAGGTCTCAGGCTGGTCCAAGAGCCAGGTCATCATCTTGTCTGCCAAATACTCAGCCCATGAAAAGGTGAGCTGGAACTTTTAACTTTTCCGGAGTGACCTAAGACCCAAGAACTAGTGTATTTATCAGCTCAGGCTGCTATAACAAAACACCAGAGTCCAGGGGACATAAAAAACCACAAATTCAGTCTGGAAGCTGGAAAGTCCAAGGTCAAGGTGTAGGCAAGGTAGTTTTTATTCTGAGGCCTCTTCTCTTGGCTTGTGGGTAGCTGCCATCTTGCCATGTGCTCGCACGAGTTCCATGACAGCAAGCTCTCTGGTGTGCCTTTTTTTTTTTTCTTTTTTTTTGGTGGTACTGGGGATTGAATTCAGGGCCTCACACATGCTAGGCAGGTGCTCTACCACTGAGCTACACCCCTAGCGCTCTGGCATCCTTTCTCTAAGGGCACTAATCCCATTGGTTCAGGGCCCCACCTAACTCTATCTCACCTAATCCTAGTTACCACCCAAGGCCCAACCACTCAATACCATCACGTTGCGGGTTATGTGGGGACTCATTCTGCCCATAACAGCCAGTTATGTATACACAGCAGGAACAATCAATCCATGAGAATACCCAGGAGGTCTCCCTAGGGCGGAATCCTCACTGTGTCCCTTACTAACAAACAGTGTGACATTGGTCAGTTGCTTAACTTTGCCTTGCCTCAGTTTCTTTACTTGTAAAATGGGGATAACGTAGAGCCTACCCCACCTCATTGCTACAAATGTTAATTGATGTGACCCACATACAGATGTCTGAACAGTAGGTGACATAATGGAGCATGAACTTTGTGAGTTAGTGGTCACCGAGTTGTTGATCCTCATCCTGGGATTGGGGGTGAAGTTATTTTATTCTAGCTTTGGGCTGCAGAGAAGGGCGGTCAGGGCAGGAAGTCTTAGCCATGTTCTAGCTGGGGATGGAAAGTGTGGATCTTTTTTTTTTTTTTCTGTATGTTTTGATGCATTATCGTCACACATAATGGTGGGATTCATCGTTACACATTTGTATGTGCACACAGCATAACTATAATGTGGTCAATGTGATTCTCCAGGATTTCTCCCTTCTCTCCCCTCCTCCCTCTCCCTGGTTCTTTTCCGCTACTGATCCCCCTTCCATTTTCATGAGATCCACCCTCCATCTTTCTTTTCCTTTCCTCTCTAGTTTCCCACATATGAAAGAAAACATATAACCCTTGACTTTCTGAGTTTGGCTTATTTTATTTAAGTTTCTCAAGTTCCATCCATTTTCCTGCAAATGATATAATTTCATTCTTCTTTATCCTTGAATAAAATTCCACTGTGTATATAGACCACATTTTCTCTATCCATTCATCCAATGATGGACGCCTAGGCTGGCTCCATAGTAGGGTTGTTGTGAACTGGGCTGCTCTAAACATGTCTGTGCTTGTATGTCTACAGTACTCGGACCTCACTTCACAAATGGAACTTTCTTGGGGGGTGGGTAGGAGTAACTAGTCTCCCTGTGCTGGGTCCAGTTGAAAGGGCTTCAGACTCTAGAGACTTTTAGAGAACTTGAAAGGTCTTGCTTTCTTTGGAGACAGTAAGAAACTCTCCTCTCCATGGAGAATAATTGAAGGAAAAAGGTATGTCTCTGATTATTTGGAAAATCATCTGCTAGGCTCGCTGGAAAGGAGGGGAGGAGGCACGCATGATTTCTGGTAGGATGGGTAGGCCCATCATATTTCCCTTCAAGCATCAGATTTATATCCTGAAAATTTTTTATTCCCACTCAAAGCTTCTGCCCAGAGATTTGACGAGTATGGGGTTTTGGCAAGGCAGATGCCTGTCGAGTGACAAGAGAATGGTCTCCAGCTCCTGTGAGTGGGGGCGGGGACTGGGTAACACTGAGAACTCCTGCCTCTGGGGAGGCTGATCCTCTGCTCTTGATAATTGTGCCCAGGTAGAATGTGAGCCCTGTATGATCTATGTTCATATTGTTTTGTTTAAAAAAAAATCCAGAAGTTCAAATCTGAATGCATATGGGAGTTCTTCCTATAAATTTAACTAAAAAAAAAAAAACTAGAAACAATTTTTAAATGTTGTCAATTAGTTCAAATTAAGCACWCACACATAGCCCATTCATTTGTTCCATGTGTTTAAATAGCATAGTAATTCCCCTAGTGTAGCCCTGATCATGTGCCTTGTGTGTGTGTTTTTTTAAAATTAACTAATTAAAGTTTTTGTGGTACTGGGATTGAACCCAGGGGCACTTTACCACTGAGCTTTTTAAATTTTTATTTTGAGACTGGGTCTTGCCAAGTTGCTGAGGCTGGCCTCGAACCTGCGATCCTCCTGCTGCAGCCTATCAAGTTGCTGGGATTGCAGGTGTGCTCCACTCCAGCTGCCTTGGGTTTGGATAGTTGATACTCTTTCTGGGTAGAAAGGGGGGCAGTCTCTGATCACAGCATCTGTCTTGCTCGCCGTGTGTCCCATGGGGTTGCCCATTCATACCTGGCATGCAGAAGGGGTGGGTGAGCATCTGGGAGAGGAGAGGCCAGAGCGGTGCCTCACCCTGGTGGCGGGTCCTCTACCAGGTGCTGTCCTTCTACAATGTCAGCCAGATGGGTGTGCTGCTGGCAGGGGTGGCCACCCAGGACTTCTACAGCATGGACCGCAAAGACCTCCTGCAGGTCCTGAGAAGCACCATCTCCCAGCACCTGTCTGATTTGTCGCCTGCCCAGCAGCAAGGTGTCCTGAGCAAGGTGAGGTGAAGACAGGTGGCTGCTCCCCTGTTGGGTGGCTCACAGAGGATGTGGTTTTGGGGTTTTGCCAGTGGGCTGTGACTCTGGGCCCTCCCTTCAGGGCTGAGATGATCTCATTCACTGGTGTCCAGGGTAGTTCTGAGCCCAGAAGGTGCCTTCTCCCGATGGCTCTCCTCCCTCCTTCCTAGACAGGGCTCTGCTGGCCACGCTGTAGTTCTCTCCAGACCCTTGCTCTCCCTAGCCTGTCTAATCCAGAAAACATTTTTAAAGCCAGGTTTCTTGATCTAATAATGTGTTTAAAAATTGGTTTTCCAAGCTTAAAAACGATGCCTGAAGTTCAGAGTGCTTCTGAAAGCCTTTTCCATGGTCCAAAGTCAAGTTGTTATGCCTTTCTCAATTGGAGGAGGTCTCCAGAGGGGTTTTCTGGGTTTCCATCTTGCACTAAAGACCTTCACGTCCAGTTGCAAAATCTGTTAAGAAACCCCTCCCCCTTGCAGATAGCAGTAGCATGCCTGGTTAAAATAAAGAGTGGATTCTGGAATAACCCCAACTTGGACTTGAATGTCACTTACCCACTTTCCACCAATCACTTCTAAGCCTCAGTCTTCCTACCTGTAAATGGGATTAATGGAAGTTCCTACTTCATAGGGTTGCTAGCAGATCTGATGGATTTTTTTTTGCCCACGAAGCCATATCTAGTTCGTACCCAAATCTCAGGCACTTCTTACAAGGTCATTCCTCTTTCTTCTCACTTTGGGCAGATGATTGAAGTAGGCGACACCACCTCAGGCATTGTGGAGATACAAGGGTCTTTCTTTAAGGAAGTGTCTCTCTTTGATTTACGGAGGGAATCCCATTTCAACTCTTCAATCCTGAAGGAGAAGGAGCTTCGAAGGAGCCAGGTACCATATTTCACCACATAATCGTCACCATCATATAATATTGTCATACCTTATTTTTTTCAGCCCCCAAATTGATTTATAACCTTTTATCATGTAATCATTGCACGATATAATTCCGTTCCTCGTGCTGCTTAAAAGGTGAACAGAGCAGCAGGGTATCCACCAGGGGCATATGGATGCACATTTGTCTTCCGGTGCACCGTGAGCCACAAACCCTGAATTCTCAGTGCATTACACTGTCAGTACCTTTCCAAAACCTGACTTGCATGGTTCGTTTAAAGCCCGGTAGTACTAAACACACAAAAGTTGCATACAGTCAACATATTTTGCACAAGTGGTGTTGAGGCTGGTGAGTCAGGTAACAAAACTAGCGTTAGTGGCACAGAATCTCTGGATACAGGATTAAAATTTGTAAGCCCCAACTTTGCAACATGGTGGTCAATTTTCTCAAAGTGTACTATTTCAACTAGCATGCACCAATCAGTAGCAACTAATGCGTTATCTTTTTCAGGTTGGAAAAAAATGTTCACTGATTGGTCACCAAGAAATGATGTGTGTTGATTTGGCCTATCCCATTTTACTGTCTATTCATGAGTATTTTGTGCATCCAAATCTTGCACCAAAGACAATTTAGTAATAAATGATTTCTCAATAACACCAGTACCCCTTTCTTAAAAAGCTTCCCATAAAGATTATGCCTCACTTTTTGGGCAAAATAAATAAATAAAGTTGGCATCAAAACCTGTTATGACCATGCAGTAGAACATGTTATGGCCACAATCCCTGCAGCTCGATCCTGTATTTCTGACTATCTGTCTTGTGGGAGTATTCTTTAAAATTTGGCAAAAGCAATTTATTTCTGTGGGATTCAACCCTGGAGGCAGAATAGTGTAGTGTTAAGAAGTGAGACAAGATCTGTATCCCATTTATTTTATTAGCTTTGGGGAAACTACTTCTCCCTACATGGCCTCAGTCTTCCCATGTGGAAAATGTGGGTGATTTCTCATAAGGATCAGTGACACACGGCTCACGGCTCACAAGCATGGGCTGTAAATATTAGCAGATTGTATGTTTATTATATACTGTGAGCTCTGAGACCAGGAGGGCAGGATGGCATTATTGAGGTTGAGGCATAGCTGTAGGACTTTCTCTGACTTCCTGCTCACTCACTCCTGATATTGAGCACATGCCGGGTGCTGCTCACAGCCCTGGGAGTACAGAAGTGAACAAAACAGACCAAAATCCCCATCTGTCCTGGGGAATCTTGCTCACGTTTGGATGATATTATGGTGACCAATTGCTATGTATCCAACAGCTGCCAAATTCAGTGGCCAGGACCACTCATTCTAATTTGGAAAGTACATCTTGCTGCAGGTACTTCAAGATATATATATATATWTTTTTTCCCAGCAATGGAGTTGTTATTTCCTGAGATGGGGAGAATGGTAGGAGAGTCCCGGAAGCTGACCTTGTGCCCTTGGAAGTCTCTGGGACCACACACACACACACACACACACACACACACACACAGACCCAGAACTTTCCTCCACCCCTGCTCCTTTTGCCTGGGCCTTTAGGATACTTTAAGATCCTTAGTTACTGTGTCACAGAAACCTCATTTGACGCTAGCTCATAATTTACTCTGTTTGGGGAATTATGCTCAAAGTTTCAGAGTCTATAAAATAGACAAATGTCATACTTGATCCTGTCTGCGAGTTAGGTATTCTGTAAAATTACATTCCTTAAAACAAATGTCTCCCCTGCCTGCTCAGTGTTGCTCTCCTGGAGTGCTCATCTGGGAGGGTTTCAGGCAAGTGTGTGCTACCTGCAGTTCTTTATTGATGGCTCTTTCTAGCCGGTGCTGGTCCTATTCATTTGCTTTGGTTCTGGGATACGCTGTGCTCAGGACTAGCAGGTGGGCATGCCAAAGAGGCCACAGAGAGCCCCCACAGGTCTGTGGCCTCCCTCTGCACAGGAAGTCATTCTCCAGCCCTGCTCCTGATTCACCCTTTAAAGCTCAGGCTCTGGATTACTCTGACACCCTTTCAAACCCCTGCTTGGCCACTTAGCAGTTGTATGGTCCTGGGTTAGCAACCCGTTGGGCCTCCTTTGCCCATCTGTGCGATGGGTCAGAGTGCCCTCCCTACAGGGCCTCGCAGTCCTGGGCTCCATCAGTGATGTCCACCTCTCTTCCCTCAGGCCTTGTTCCTGTACGAGCTCCTGTCAAGGACAACGGGAAGGCCTGAGGAGCTCCTGAGGTAGGGACGCAGCTCAGCCCAGGGCTGGGAGCCCCCGGGAGCTTCCGGCTGAGGAACTGACTTTCCCAGGAAGGAGGGTTGGACAGTGACGTCTGTAGCTTGAGTCACATGGAACCTGCCTTTCTTTCTTTTTTTTTTTTTTTGGTCCTTTTAAATTATAAATATGACAGTGGAATGTATTTTGGCATATTATACATACGTGGAGTAAAACGTGTTCTAACTGGGATCCCAATCTTGTGGTTAAACATGATGCAAAGTTACTCTGGTGCAGTATTCAAATACAAGGCTAGGAAAGTTATGTCCTATTAATTCTATGTCCATAGAATTTTCAAATTCTCTGTCCTAGAATTAATAGGACATAACTGTTTCCTCTCCCCTCCCTTCCCTTTCTTTCCCTATGTCTAATCCAATGGATTTCTATTCTTCTTCTCTCTACCCTCCCTTAATGTGAGTTAACATCCACAAATCAGAGAGAACATTCAGCCTTTGTTTTCTTGGGATTGGCTTATTTCACTTAGCATGATATTCTCCAGTTCCATCCATTTACTGGCAAATGCCATAATTTAATTCTTCTTTAAGGCTGAGTAATATTCCATTGTGCATATGTACCACATTTTTAAAAATTCATTCATCTGTTGAAGGGCACCTAGGTTGGTTCCATAGCTTAGCTATTATGAATTGAGCTGCTATAAACATTGATGTGGCTATGTCACTGTAGTAGGCTGATTTTAAGTCCTCTGGTATCAAGTGAGGAGTGGGATAGCTGGGTCAAATGGTGGTTCCATTCCAAGTTTTCTGAGAACTATGCATACTACTTTCCTGAATGGTTGCACCAATTTGCAGTCCCACCAGCAAYGTCACACCTTTCTCCCCACATCCTTGCCAACATTTATTGGAACCTGCCTTCTCTTGCTCCTTCTTCTCTATGTCCCTGTTTCGTTTCTAGTGTTGGACAGCTGATCAAAGGCATGACCTGTTCACACATTGATCACCTGAGCGCCGACTCTTTCCTGGCCCATTTCCGGTATTTTGAGAACAACCTTTCCCTGCTTTCATTGGACCAGGTAACTGCTGAAGATTGGTTCTGCTTCTAATTCTCTCTCCATCCCCCAATCACTGGGCATAGGTTGACGGTGGCATCTAAAGATGTTAATGCCAAAATTATTCAGGTGCAAACAATGACTTGGTGCCAAATATTGAGCCAGGTTTTCTCCAGTTTCCTTTTTAAAAACTCCAAATAATAACCCAAAGTTTCCAGTTGGTTAGTCCATACTCAAATGTGAACCTTAACATGTGTTTGGAAGGTAGATGCWTTTGCATGTTCATGGTCATGTCTCCTGGGACCAGAGGCAATCCCTCGTCTAACATTCTTGTCTTCCAAAGAGATCTATAAAAGGGAAATAATGCTCTGAGTATTTTCTTTTTCATTTTCTAAAAGGTCATGGAGACTCTGTAACCCCTTGGGGAGACTAACGGCAGTAACTGACTTTTCACAGTAGCTAAGTTAGTAGCAACTGGCCTTGGGGACAGAGTGTAGGCTTTGAGTGTAAACTGTTGGCTGCAGAGAGTCCCAGGAGAGACAGCCGGTGAATACATAAAGCATCTTCTCAACTTTGGCCTTGGGTTTTATATCCAAATTAAAAATTTCCAAACAGTGCATTCTCTCCCTACAGAATTGGGAAGCATGAAGCTTGGCGCATAATCCTCTGAGATCATTAGAGGAATATGCAAAGTTTTAATGAAGCCCTGGCGTGCCCTTAGAGTCTTTATTCCACCAGTGGCTCTCAAACGGGAGCTTGGATCAGTAGGAGCTTGTATCCGCATTGCCTCGAAGGTTTGTTAAAATCCAGATGAGGCGCTGGGGTGTGGCTCATTAGTGGAGCATGTGCCTCCCATGCAAGGCCCTGGGTTCCATGTACAGCTCCACACACAGACACACAAAAGACTGGGAGTCACTCCTAGAGTTAACTATATCGCAGGTCTTGGGTGAAGCCTGAGAATCTGCCTTTCTAATTAGTTCCTTGGTGAGAACCATCAAACCATATTGAAAGTCCTGCTCAGACAGGGAAGCCATGAGGAAATGGGTGGAGATGGCAGGAAGACCCAGCATGTCCCAGCAGTTGCCCAATGAGATGCTTCTTATCCCAGCTCCCAGGACCTTCAAATGCTGGTTAATTAGAAACTTTGCCCTTATTGTTTACATTTTTGTTGAAAATTATTTTATGAAATCCAAACCATACAGAGGAAGTAAAATTAAGTTGGTATTTGGTCGAAATTCTCCTAATTTGCCTGAGAGGAGTGGTTCAGGATAGGGTGCTATTCTGCCCCCAAGGCCCTGTGGCCACATCTGGAGGCACTTTTGGCCATCACAGCTGGGGAGGTGGGATTCTCCTGGCATGTAGGGGGTGGAGGCCAAGGATCCCGCTGAACACCCCGCAGGGCACAGCCCCCACAAACAAGAGGTACATGATCCAACATGTCAATAGCCTGAGGTGAGCAACCACAGGTAGGTACAGGGGAAAAAACTTGCACGTTGATTTTGAGAGTTTTTTTTTTTAAAGTGTATTAAGCATATTTGTTTGTAATATGAAAAACGAATGAGCATATATTATCCATACTATTCTATAGGTATGTGTACATATATGTTTGTGTACATACATGCGTAGAAATCATATAATATGTGTACGTATGTTATATATAATACATATAATAGAATTCTATTGTCTGAACATACCATAATGTATTTAGCCAACTCCCTAAGTTAAGGTCATAGCTCACTTTGCAATTATACCAAGAACTGTGAGGAGTGTGTTCTCACACTTAAGGGTTTGTGTTCACCGCAGTTTCCTCATCCATAACATGGGCACAATAGTGGTGTCTGCATTGTAGGGTCCTCCATTACCTAAGTGGACATGGATACAGCACTTAGAATGGTGTCGAGCACACAGACTGGGCCATCTGTGTTTGCTCTTAGTATTATTGGATTAAATTCCTGAACCACTGATCTTTCAGGTTAATTGTTTGGCTTGGAAGTACTGGGAAGTTTCRAGGCCATCCATGCCTCCTTTCCTGTTGGCTGCACTCCCGTAAGTGACCACGGCTCCTACTCTTTCTGGCTCAGCAGTAAGATGGGTATGTGTCGGGGAGTCACCTGGGCCCAAGTGACTCTTTCCCCCTGAGTTTTCTTGAGGAAACCGAGGGAGCCCGGAGAGTGTCTTTCACAGCTAAGCCCTGGAGAAGCAGGAATTAAACTCTGAGCCCCACACAGATATGTAAGACAGACGCTCATGCTTTTTCTTTTATTTAAAAACCAAAGAGAAAGCATCTTAAGCCTGAATAAATATCAGTGAAGCAGGCCTCATCTGGGCTGGCCTGACAGCTATGTCCAGGCCCCAGGGGAATTAGGCTTATAAGCAGTGGGGGTTTCCTGCTTTTCAAACATGGTCTGGACACTGTTTCTCTCCTCTTTTCCTTTGTTATTTCCCTCTGCTTTCTTTTGCTGTTGTTGTACTCATTCATTMAAAAAAAAAAAATACTGAGTGTTTGCCGGGTGTGGTGGCTCACGCCTGTAATCTCAGCAGCTCGGGAGTCTGAGGCAGGAGGATCGCAAGTTCAAAGCCAGCCTCAGCAAAAGTGAGGTGCTAAGCAACTCTGTGAGATCCTGTCTCTAAACAAAAATACAAAAAGGGCTGGGGATGTGGCTCAGTAATTGAGTGACCCTGAGTTTGATCCCCAGTACCTACCCCCTCCCCCCCAAAAATACCCCTAACACTGAGTACTTACTGTGTGCGGGTTCTCAGTGATAGCTAAATATTCTCTTTCTAAGAGCTTAAAATCTTATGGGGACAGTAGACAAATATGAAATCAATTATAATATTAAGTTGGTATTTGGTCGAAATTGACAGAACCTAACTCAAATTGACTCGGGCAATAACAGGGAATTTTTAGTTCAGTCAACTGAAAATTATAGAGATGGACTTCAGGCATGGCTGAATCTAGAGGCTCAAACAATGTCATCTGTCTCTTGGTTCAGTTTTCCTCTGTTAACTTAACTGTCAGGCAAGTTCTTTCTCTTCTGCAGCCCCTGGAAGGTTCAAAGTTACATTTTCCTGGCATCATTGTTGGGRAAAAGAGAACAACTTTCTATTCCCATCATTCTCAATAAAAGTCTTGGGTTTGACTCTCATTGGACTTATTAGGGACAATTGTTCTCCTTAAGTCAACCAGGCTTGAACTAGTTGACTTAATGGTCCCTTGAACTGGGAGTGAATCACAAGGACTTAGAATGAAAGGGATAGTTTCCCAAAAAGCCAGGTGTTGTTAGTATTATGGGGAGACACCTCAGAAAGGACTCGAAGTCRGAATTTCAAATCAAAAGAGAGCTTTATTTACCTGGCCAGGGACTGACACCCACCCCAGAGAGACTCAGGCTCTGTGGGAGGACAGCAGCTTCCTGGTTCATCCGAAGAGAATATAAGCACAAAAACCATAACTCAGTGACTTGCTTACAATCATGTAAGCTAGCCAATCACAGAAGTTAAAACATTGATAAGTGGGACCTGTGGGCTCTAGGCAGGGCTGGAATTTTCCAGTCAGCAAGCAAGCAATAAACAGAAGCTGACATAGCATTAGCTCTGCAGTTCAGTTGACCACAGTCCCTGGTTCAAGCAGGTGCTAGACAGTCGCAAGCTGAACTTGGGTGGGGGTCAGCTGGGTGAGAAAGTTTCAGACAGACACTCCAGACATGGGCACAGGGATGTCCTGTCCAGTGCGGGTGAGGCTAGCAAGCACGCCAAGGAACACAGAGCAAGTGGAGAGAGAAGGTAGAGAAGCAAGGGGCGTCAGAATATGGAGGACTTTGTACGACCCCTTATGTGTTTCCTTTGTATTCTGGGAGCAGCCACCAGATTTATGCTTCAAAAAGATCATCACCATCACCCAGGGTGGACCACGGGCCTGAGTGGCAGGAGGAAGGCAGGAGAAGGTTATTTCAGTCATGCAGATCTGCACGTAGCTGACTCCCCTACATCTCCACGTCCTGGCTCCAGCAGGGGCTCCTCTGCCTCCCCAGCATTGTTCTCTATATTATAGAGCCACCACATTTTCTTCTTATATTTAATCACTAGCTGAAATGACCTGTTTTCTTTCTGTTAAACCTGCGTGGTTCCTGTGTTTCTGCCCTCACCTAGAAGGAAGCATCATGAAGTTCATTGCTATATCTGGTGACCAGTGATAGTGCCTGGCATGCAGAATGCTCTGTAGAAACTGCTGAATGAATGAATGAAGAAATAAAGAGGACTGGGGGTGGAAAGACAAGAACAGATTGGAATAATATTAAGAATGGAGCAATGACAGGTTGGGAATAAAGGGAAAAGGATCCTGGGGTGGCCCAGAGGAGGAGGAAGATGTTGGGTCTTTTTTTTCATCATTCCCTGGTTACAGGGAAATTTTTAATTTTTCTTTAATGAGAGAAATGATATATTAAGGAAAAGTATTTTACTGAGTATGAGTGAACTTTGGTGAGCTATAAATCATTCTAACAACTGAGATTTTCCCCTGATCTATGGTCAAGAGCTCAAGGGAGGAGATGATAGGATGGGGGCCATTTCTCTCTTTCCATTCTCTCTTGTCTGTATTCCTTACTTTCTATTATATTCTATCCATTCTTTGTCTCTTACTTTTTCCTTTCTCTTCATTTCCTCTCAGCCAGTCTTTCATTCAATAAATATTTATGGAGAATCCATTCTCTGATCAGTGTTGATGGGGAATAGAAGAGAGGCATGATGGGAAGTCTGTTTCCCACCCCTAGAGGAGAGGCATGATGGGAAGTCTGTTTCCCACCC